TGGTTAGGACCTCCTTCTTCTTGCTAAACAACACCATAAAGGTCAAGAATAGCTTCCTTTCTCTCTCAAAACGCTCAAGCACTCTAGGGTTTCTCTCTATGGACTGGTAGCCGCAAATGAAGGCCATAAGGGCCTTTAAATAGGTCCCAAACCCAAGAAATTAGGGTTTTTTCATCATCTTTGACTCGGCAAGTGACTCCCCTGACTCGTCGAGTCCCCTCATTAACCACATCATCCAGTCGCGACCAGACTTGACGAGTCTAAGCACCAACTCGTCGAGTCACCCTAATAAATAAAGAATTGCAACATAAATCAATATACATGGGAAACTGGGTGTTACACAATCGGATTAGTGAACACTCATAACAGTCTCTGATAATGTGAATTTTAATGTCGATGTTCTTGGTTTTAGAGTGTTGGATTGGATTTTTGGCAATCTGAATAGCGGCCTCATTATTACAATAAATAGGGCTTTCTAAATAATTCAAACCGTAATCCAACAGCTGATGTTGGATCCAGATAACATAAGAACACCAGGCCGACGTAGCAATGTATTCCGCCTCCACTACGGAAGTTGAGACAGTGTGTTGCTTCTTTCATGGCGACGAAACTAGTATGTCACCTAGGTATTGACATTCTCCTAAGGTTGATTTCCTGTCAAGCTCATAGCCTCCATAATTACTATCAGCAAAAGCATAAAGATCAAATTCAGAATTCTTCAGATACCAAAGACCCAATTTTGGGCTCCCTTTGATATACCAAAAAATTCTTCTAACAGCAATAATAAGTGAAAGTTTAGGATTTGCCTAATAACGTGTGCATTGACAAAATACAAACATGATGTCAAGTCCGCTTGTAGTAAGATACATTAGCGATCCAATCATCGATCGATAGTGAGTCAGATCTACGTATTCGCCTTCAGGATCTGGAGTCAGAAGAGGTCGTTCAGCCATTGGTGTTGAAGTAGATTTAGCGTCGTGAAACCCGAACTTCTCAAGAATATCCTCCACATACTTGCCTTGATGTAGCATGATTCCAGTTGAATTTTGTTTAACTAAAGCCCCAAAAACATGGTCATTTCTCCAAACGAACTCATTCCGAACCGCTTCTTCATTACACCTTCAAATTCTTTGAATAAGAATCTGATCATTGCCGAGATGCTTGATAAACAAAGTTTGATCGATAGTGCTACGAGAGTAGCCATGATCGAGCAAATTCTTTGTTAGAGTTGCATACCACGCTCGAGGAGCTTGATGTAACCCATACAATGCCTCGTCCAACTTGTAGACATGATTCGGAAATTTTGAGTCAACGAACCCAGGAGGTTGATCAACATATATTTCTTCCTTCACCTTTCCACACAAGAAGGCAGTCTTGACGTCCATTTGATACACGGTAAATTTCATGTAAAAAGCATATGCTAGGAAGATACGAATGGTCTCCAGGTGACCTACTGGAGCATAAAGTTCAGTGTAATCAAGACCCTCGACTTGTTGAAACCCGCAAACCACCAATCGAGCTTTAATTCGCATAATAACCCCTGAATTGTCATGCTTATTGCGATAAACCCATCTTGTGTCAAGAGACTTCTTGCCTTTTAGTAACTCAACTAACTTCCAAACACCAAGTTTTTTCAAATTGAAGCAGTTCCTCATGCATTGCATCTACCCATTTGGGATCATTCAGATCCATTTCAACATTCATGGGCTATATTTGAGACAAGTATTAACATATCCACTCTGACGTCTTGTTGTAACACCCGTCGCTTGTGACATCCCAATTTTCACGGCCAGAAAAGACCGATTTTGTTTATGCTTTATAAAAATCAGAGTTCTTCTTTTAATAAAAATGTTGCGGAATTCGTTCCCAGAAAAACACGATAAATACGTTATTAAAACATTTTCGAAGAAATGTATTTTATTCATTTTAAAACGTTGGGATGTCATCATCAATACAGGAACATAAGCATAAACAGAACTTACATTTATTTACACTAGTGATCTACATCTCTTAAATCTCTTAGTGTAATGTGACTTCATATCAAGACCTGTGATATAAATTAACTAAGTGGGTCAGGTTGGGAAACCTGGTGAGTATATAGGGTTTTCAACCCACAATAATATAATTATTATGTTTAAACAATCAAACAATCAACCCAATTACCCATCCCCATTATCTTCTTTACTCTTAAGGATTTATCCTAAGAGTCATCTATTCTGCATTCGTTTATTCCGAAATCCCTTACTTCCAGGGTTATAGGACTGACACTAAATCCATAGCTGCCAATGTTCGTTCATAAAGCACTACTTCCATAGTTGCTATAGTCTATTCATCGGGTACTAAATCCAT